TGGTGTGCTGCCAAGAGCATAACTTCCCTAAGACAAGCAGAGAAATTAATACAAAACAAAATCACTTTCAGAATCTTGCTTTTTGAAAAAACAGTCTCCTAGGCTTTCTGATATATAAGAAAAAGGTTAAGTAAGATCTTGTCAAACCTGACACTGTGGGTTAGAATGGAGGTAGTAAACTGAATTTCCAGTAGGTTGCGGAAGGACATTTAATTTCCAGTGAACAAGGTGTGGGTTTTCCTATCTTATGGTGGTTTTTTTATATATGTCTCAATGACTGCCAAATATTGAACAAATCATGTAGGAAATAAAGTGCAAGATTTCTACATTGTAATACAGAAAAGCTATCCTGCTCCTTTTCTCATCAAAATCTACTTTCCTCCATTTTATGATTTCATCTTGGCTATGCCTGAGGCCTATGCATTCAATTTGTTCAGATGAGGGGAATTAAGAATTCCTTCAGCCTCCACCTTATTGTATTCTCTTCAATTCTAGTCAATTTTGGCATTTCTACTGTTTTTATCCTCAACAGTTTCCACAACGGAGAGCAGAGGTAGTGGTGGTGGATCATACTTCAAAATGAAAGTTTCCTTTACCAAGACACGTGAAGCAGCAGGTACAGATTTTCCCATCCTCTCCGTAAAAGAACTCATTTCCAATTTCATCTTCCAGTTGATGTCTTGAATCTAAACTTGCAAAGCTCTGTGTTTGCCTTTGACATCCCCATGCTACGCTCATTAGCCCAGCAGATGGGACTATTTCTGCACCTCAGTAAGCTCCCTACTATGACGAGGTTTCCCTGTAGGCTTTAAAATCCCTATAGTCTTCTTCACAGAGCATGGCCTTGCTTCCCACCTTGGCAATCCAATCCCTTGACTATTTTAAAATTGTCAATTTTTTTCCAATAGGAAAGTGTCACAATTGTCTCCTTCTGCAATTTGATCAACATCAAGATTACCTCTTATTTCTCCACCCCTGAAAAAATGGCTACTGCTTTATGCAAAAATAATGCCGAAAAAGGTGCAGAAGAGAGCCACAAAAACATGACAAGGGCCAGAGCAACTGAGGAATGGCTAAGGCTCTCCAGCTTAGGGGGGAAATTGATGACACAACAGTGCTGTATAATATGTACATGCTAGGGAAAGTCTGGAGGGTGAAGTTATTTTCATTCTCTCATGCTGGAACCCAAGGTCAACCAGGGAAGTTAAATTATGGGAAATTTAGCACAGATAAAAGGAAGCACTTCTTCAGAATGCACCAAACCAGATGTCTTTAAAAAGGATTAGCCAAATTAATGTAGGATACTGTTATCCATGGCTAGTAGTCATGACAGCTATCTTCTGCCAAGGTGTTATGCCTCTGAATGACTATTGTGAGAAAGCAAGACTCCATAAGGCTTGGGTCTGATCCAACTTAGCTCTTGTTAGGGGAGGAGGGGAGCAAACAGGCAGGTTATGTGTGGTTTTGGCACAGAAGTGGCTGAGTGAGAGGTTACACAAAGCTGAATGAGGCAGGACAAACAAAATTTAGCTCTGTAGCTTCAAGATAGTACTCCTAAGATGCCCTCAAAGCGATGTAACAGAGGCCAAGAAAGGCCTCTGTGAGGAAGCTGCTGGCTGAGATGGGGAGCAACTAAGAAGCTGTTTGGTTTCCCTTACCTTCAAAAGAATTCCTCTTAAGGTTACACAATGTCACGTAAAAAGTTCCCACATGGGCACTTCAACACTAAAAAGCAACAGCCATATGAAGAGCACAAAGACTGCTGGGACTGCCATGGCAACATGTTTGCTTTATCCTCTGAAAGAGCAGCTGCCATTTCTTGCTCCAAGAGTTCCTTTTGATCTTCCTCAGAGACCATCACTTCGCTTTCTTTCAATGACAGGGGAAGCTCTATCTCCACAGACTTGCCCCTTAGAAAAGCCAAGGTGACTTGCTGGAGTGGGGAAGGGCAGTGTAGCGCAAGGTGTCACATGAAGGTAGAAGCATGAGGTAAAGACAGAGGAGGTCTTGCTTTTTGGGCCTAAGCATTAAGGGTACAGCACATCCCTCAGATCCAACCATGCTGCCTTTGGAAAGCAGAGGTTATGTATAAACTGCAGAATAAATGCTGTCTCACACCACATGAACTGCCATGGCTCAATGTTATGGAATCATGGCAGTTGTAGTTTGGTGAAGCATCAGTTCTCTTGGGCAGAGACTAAAAATCTCGTAAAAGGACAACTCCCAGGATCCCATAGCAGTTAAAATGGTGTCGAACAGCATTAATTCTACAGTGTGAATGCACCCAGAGCTATGAGTAAGTCAAACCGAACTGTGATCCTCTGACCAATATGGATCACCAGACAGAATTCTGGGGGTCAATGCTCTAAAATCCCCCCCTTCTACCTTTTGGGAACTAGAGCCATAATATTAATCAGAGAGCTTGTCACATATATCTCCTCTTAAGACAAGCTGCACGTCCGTGACCTTGCGGTGTTTTTGCACAGAGCTGCAATGTTTACCACCTTCCGATCTCCCTTGCATTCAGAGCAACACCAAGGGTAGCGGAAGGAGGCCTGGGAGCCAGGGAAATTCCTGCAAGGGACCCACAGGAACATACAGCTAGATGCCCTCTCTAGAGAGATTTATTTTTGCACAAGCAACAAAGGCCGCACTGCCTTGCAGTGAATGCCAAGGAAGAAAAAGGAGGCTGTGGTTAGGGTATCACGAGGATGACCCCGGGGCACGACTGCCAGAGCCAGGCTGTGTGTATCCTCTTCAGAAGGAAAACATTCAGAGGCTCTGAAAAAACACCATGTCAATGTAGAGAGAGCCTGGTCTAGAAAACACCACTTCAACAGAGCTTGGTTTATCCCCTCCCCCCTTTTTTTCCCTTCCTCCTTGCAAGGGGTTAACAACTGCAGACAAGATACCAAGAAAGGACTGCGATGAGCGGGGAGATGTTGACATTCGGAGGGGAGAAAACGGGTGGAGGAGGGTGGTTCCCTTGAGAACAGGGCAGGAGAGTGTCTGCCTGCCGTGGGGCCATAAAATCCAGAGATCCGGGCTGAAGGAGGAATCAGGAAACAGAGGCTGGATCTACTCTGATATATCATGCAGTTTGGAAGGGCATTAGATGATAGCCCTGCATTATATGGGTCAGGGCAGACCCACTAAAACAGTGCTTCTCAACCTTGGGTCCCCAGATGTTTTTGGCCTACAACTCCCAGAAATCCCAGCCAGTTTACCAGCTGTTAGGATTTCTGGGAACTGTAGGCCAAAAACATCTGGGGACCCCAGGTTGGGAATCACTGCACTAAAAGGTCTATGATTGCCTTGCGTTGTATGTGCCCAGCATAGTAGACCCATGAAAGGTCTACATATAATGCTGGGTGATCATAGAACTTGAATGGGTCTGCACTGACCATATAATGCAGGGTGGTTGCTTCCACTATATCAGCTAATGACAGTGTGAATAAATTGTCAAAATTTGCTTGAGATAGTGTTTGCAAATCTGGAGGGACATGTTTAATTTTTGCTTCTCATAGACTTAACATGGGGATTTGGTTAACCAGTTAAAGTTCATGAGTAAACCAACACGGGTCCATGATAATGATGGTGATGGGTTGTCAGGACATTTTTTATGGCTGGGTCTACCCCGCATATAATGTTGGGCAATCATATCAGGCAGTCCCAAACTGCACGACAGGGCAGAGTAGACCCAGCCAGGGAAAAAGCATAGTAGGCCCATTAAAGGTCTACATATAATACAGGGTGATCATAGACCTGTAATGGGTCTGCATGGCCATATTTTTTTCCTCTGTGTCAGGAGCGGCTTGAGAAACTGCAAGTCGCTTCTGGTATGAGAGAACTGGTCGTCTGCAAAGACACTGTCCAGGGGGTACCTGGATGATTTGATGTTTTACCATCCTTGTGGGAGGCTTCTCTCATGGCCTTGCATGGGGAGCTGGAGCTGACAGAGGGAGCTCATCTGCACTCTTCCCTGATTCAAACCTCTGACCTGTTGGTCTTCAGTCCTGCCAGCACAAGGGTTTAACCTGTTGTGACATGGGGGGCTCCATATAATGCAGGGCAATCGTATAATGCTCTTTCAAACCGAGCTGCAGGACATGGCAGGGTAGACCCATACAAGGAAAAAGTGTAGTAGACCCTTGAAAGGACTACATATAATGAAAGGCGATAACAGACCTTGAATGGGTCTGTATTGACCATACCATACCATACCATATTGACCATGGTATAATGCCCTTCCAAACTGATCATACAAAGCAGCCCCAAGTGCAGGACAGGGCAGGGTAGACCCAGCTAGGGAAAAAGTGTAGTAGACCCATGAAATGTTTACTTATAACCTTGAATGGGTCTGTATTGGCCATATAATGCAGGACGATGGTATAATGCCCTTCCAAACTGATCATACAAGGTAGTCCCAGGCTGCACGACAGGGCAGGGTAGACCCAGCCAGGGAAAAAGCGTAGTAGACCCATGAAAGGTTTACTTATAATGCAGGGCAATCACAGGCCTTGAATGGGTCTGTACTGACCATATAATGCAGGGAGATCATATAATGCCCTTCCAAACTGATCATACAAGGCATCCCTAAGCTGGACGGCAGGGTAGACCCAGCCAGGAAAACAGCGTAGTAGACCCATGAAATGTTTTACTTATAACCTTGAATGGGTCTGTACTGACCATATAATCGTGTGATGCCCTTCCAAACTGATCATACAAGGCAGTCCCAGGCTGCACGACAGGACAGGGTAGACCCAGCCAGGGGAAAAGCGCCCTGACAAGCCGTCATCATGCTCATCAGGCACCCGCGTTGGTAAGGCAACAAGGCGCCGCTTCGGGGAGCCCTTTCTCCGCCCGATGCTGCTCTGGAGACCCCCCCAAGGCCCTTCCAAAACAGGAGGGGAGCTGGGAGGGGGCGCCTGCCTTCCCGCGTGGGCCCCACACCTGCTCGCCTGCTTGGCCCTTCCTCTCTGTCTCTGCCTCTGTCTCACCTGGGCTCAGGGAGGACGATCTTCTTGCTGGCTCGGGCGGCGGGAGTGGATTTGCTCTTCTCCATGGCCATCAAGTAGCTCACGTCGGCGAGCACAGCCTCCAAGTCGGCCATCTTGCCAGGAAAGGTTCCTTCTCCTTCCTTCGGCGTCCCTTTCCCCCTTCGCCTCCTTCTTCTCCTTCTTCCTCCTCGCTCGCTCGCTCGCGCGCTCCCTTCCCTTCCCTTCCCTCGCGCGCGCTCCCCTTCCCTCCCTCCCTCCCTCTCCCCGCACAAGCGATGCTCGCGGCCTCTGCGGCGGCTCCTCTCTCTCCCTCTCTCTCTCTCTCTCCTTGCCTGAGGCTGAGGCGGCGGAGAGGGCCCCCCCAACCTTCTCACAAGCGGACCCACATCGCCAGGAGGAAGAGGAGGAGGAGGAAGAAGAGGAGGAGGAAGGGGGTGCCCTCAGCCCCCTTTCCCCTTCGCTTCCTCCCGGGATGCGGGCGAAAAGGAGGGACGGCTTCCTCCTCTTCCTCCTCCTGCTGCTGCTGTCAACACGGCGGGTCTGTCAGCGCCTCACGCAAGGCATCGAGAGGACGGAAGGAAGGCAGGCAGGCAGGCAGGGCCGCGCGCTTCCCCTTCCTCGGAGGGCTGCGACCCAAGAACGCCGCCCTCTCTGTCCCTGCTGCTGCTGCTGCCGCGGCTCCTTTCCCCCACTTCAGAGAGAGAGGCAGGCAGGCAGGCAGGCAGGCGGGGAAGGGCTCTGTACACAGCCCGCTTCGGCGCGCCCCCTGCAGGCCGCGGCGGGGATCGCCGCCTCCGCTTCATGTTCGACGCCTGAAGCCAATGCGCCGCGGGCGGAGGAGACTGTTTTGTGTGTCTGAGAGGAAGGGAGCAAATCGAGGAGCGCCCCGAGGCCTAACGGGCCTCTCTGCGCAAGGACCCTGCCTGATATCGCTACAGCGGGACAGGCGCGAGGGAGAGGGTGCCCTGCATGGAAAGGGTGCTGGGAATACAGCCCATGCCTCGTCGAAGGCTTTAAAGGCCGGGATCACTGGGTTGTTGTAGGTTTTTCAGGCTGTGTGGCCATGTTCCAGAAGCATTCTCCCCTGACAGGAGAATTCCAGACAGGACACAGTCAGGGCCAGCTAACACCTCCAAACGAAGGAGGGGAGTGAATTCCAGACAGGAAACAATCAGGGCCAGCTAACACCTACAAACAAAGGAGGTGAGTGAGACCCCACTTGTGGGCGGAGTACTGTCTAGGCTTGTGTGAGGGTCAGAAACAGGACAAGAAGATGAATGCAAAATGTTGTCGAAGGCTTTCATGGCCAGAATCACTGGGTTGTTGTAGGTTTTTCGGGCTGTGTGGCCATGTTCCAGAAGCATTCTCTTCTGACAGGAGAATTCCAGACGGGAAACAATCAGGGCCAGCTAATACCTCCAAACAAAGGAGGTGAATGAGACCCGCTTGTGCAAAATGTTGTCGAAGGCTTTCATGGCTGGAATCACTTGGTTGCTGTGAGTTTTCTGGGCTATATGGCCATGTTCTAGAAGCATTCTCTCCTGACATTTATTTTATTTATTTATTTATGACATTTCTATCCCACCCATTTCAGCCCGAAGGCGACTCAGGATGGCATACAAACCAGCAACTATTACATGCCATATGTAAACGCATATCTCAATAAAAAATTAAAACACATCATAAATACATATAAAATCCATTTCACCCACATCTATGCCAGGAATCCTCAGAGTTTGAGGGATCTGATGGAAACTAGGCAAGTGAGGTTTATATATCTGTGGAATATATATAAGAAACAATCAGGGCCAGCTAACACCTCCTCAGGGCTGAGAAAAGCAGTATATAAATAAAGTAAATAAATAAATAAACTAAGGATTCCCCCAGGCAGGAAACAGCCAGGCTTTGAAGCTGCAAGTCTATTAAATGAGAATCAAGGTGGCCAACTGCAACATTCACACTTGCTTCAAGCAGACAAGAGTTCTTTCTCCCGCCCTAGAAATTCCAGAGATATATAAACTTCACATGCCTAGTTTCCAACAGACCTCACAACCTCTGAGGATGCCTGCCATAGATGCAGGTGAAACATCTGTAGAGAATGCTTCTAGAACATGGCCATACAGCCCAGAAAACCTACAACCACCCAATGCATTCCATCCTTTGGGGCTGAGTGATAAAAAGAGAAGGGCCAGAATCTACACTGCTATAGAACTCGAAACACATAAAATATAATGCCATTTGAATCTGCATTCCGTGGTCTGTGTAGATCCATAGGAATGGTACGGTTCAGTGAAGTTGCAGTTGCATTATTTATTTACTTACTGTATTTATATACGGCAGTGGTTCTCAACCTTCCTAATGCCACGACCCCTTAATACAGTTCCTCATGTTGTGGTAACCCCCAAATGTAAAATTATTTTTGTTTCTACTTCAGAACTGTAATTTTGCTACTGTTATGAATCGTAATGTATGGTAAATATCTGATATGCAAGACGTGTTTTTATTTACTGGACCAAATTGGGCACAAATACCCGATACGGCCAAATCTGAATACTGGTGGGCTTGGGAGGATTGATTTTGTCATTTGGGAGTTACGGGTAAATGGTTAGGTTTTCCCTGACATCAAGTTTAGTTGTGTCTGAATCTGGGGGTGGTGCTCATCTCCATTTCTAAGCCAAAGAGCCGGCATTGTCCATCATGTGGTCAGCATGACTGCATGGAGCACCATTACCTTCCCTCAGAAGAGGTACCTATTTTCAAACTGCTAGGTTGGCAGAAGCTGGGCCTAACAGCAGGAGCTCACCCTGTGTTGTGGGAGTTGTAGTTGCTGGGATTTATAGTTCACCTACAGTCAAAGAGCATTCAACTGCAATGTATGGGTCTGACTGTATCCTGATCATAATGCAATTAAAACCGTGTTAAATGGCAAGTGTAGATCCAGTCCAAAATACTTGGGACCAGAAGTGTTTTGGATTTTTTTTTAATAGTTGTATTTGCGACTGAGGTTTGTGAAGATAGAATACACTTTGTTGAAGTGATACTGAAAATAAGTTTATCAAGTAGCTGGAAAAAGCAAACATAATGAATGAGCTGTCGAGCACTGACCCCCCCCCCCCCCCCCCCCCCCCCCCCGGGTCAAATTATTAATAAATTAGATTGCTGAAGCTGTGGTAGAGAGAGCTGTGGCAAACGGGAGCCTTGCAGAGATGAATTATGTGGATGTTCGGAGGAGCCCCGCTGTAGCCACCAGCTATACTTCTTGCAACATTATTCCCCCCATTTTATTACAAAATAACACCTTTCAATAAATATGCACTGTGGTGTATTATCCTTATATTTTGATTCTTTGTATCCTTGCCTCCAGTGTCCTTTTCTCTCTCCTTTTGCTTCTGACAGCTGGCCCCGCTAACCGCTTGGCCCCATAGTCCTCAGAGCATGGCCCCTTGCCTTCTTTTCCCCAGAACATAACCTCCCTTCACCCCAACTAACCCCGAGCCAGCACTTGCCTCTGTGGGTACCCCAGCTCCCGAGATTAGGACCCCCCTGGTATCCACTGATCCCCTGTGTGTAAATATGTAGTGTCTTATTTTATGTTTTACTAGCTTGGGGATCCAGCGGTGCCCAGGTTATTTGAGAAAGACATTGTTTGTCTGTGCTCCAAGTTTAGTCTAGATCCAATGTCGGCTGGGTTCAGTGGCTGCAATGAACTACAACCTCCATATGCAAGTCCCATTGTCAATGGTCCATCCTATTCCAAACAACACCAGGGTCATGGGGGCTCTGTGTGCCAAGTTTGGTCTTGATCCATCAATGGTGTGTGTTTCAGTGATCTGAGGAAGTGAGTGAAGGTACTGAAAGTCCCAAACTGCACCAGGATGTAAAGTGGGTCATGGGGGTCCTGTGTGCCAAGTTTGGTCCAGTTCTGCCATTTGTGTGGGTGTGTGGGAAGTGTATTGGATGAAGATACTGCAAATCCCATCATCTGCAGCTGGTCCCCCCACCATATTGCACCAGAACATAAAGTAGTCCACATTGGTTCTGTGTGAAAAGTTTAGTCCAGATCCATCATTCATGAGGGTTGCGGTGATCTCTGGAAGTGAGTGAAGGTACTGCAAATCCCATCATCCATGGCCCATACTCCTCCAAACCACACCATGATGTAAAGTGGGTCATGGGGGTTCTGCGTGCCAAGTTTGGTTCGGTTCCATCTTTGGTGGGCATCACAGTGGACTGTGGGAGCTGAATCAGTTGAAAGTACTGCAAATCCCATCATCCATGGTCCATCTTTCCCTAAGCTGCACCAGGAAGTAAAGTGGGTCATGGGGGTTCTGTGTGCCAAGTTTGGTCCGGGTCAGTTATTCGTGGAGAATGCAGTGGCCTGTGGAAGTGGCAGCCAATTAGAAAGCTGCCACATACACTGCCTGCTGCACACATACAAACACTGACTTTTTATTATATACATAGAAGATAGATAAATCCCTGGAGTCATGGAGCCACCAATCAAGACCCAGGTAACCTTTCACCAGCACCTCTTGACCTGGGAGTCCCCATGAACGCTTCCTGATCATCAGCACCACAATAGGATCCAAGCACTCATCATTACTGGAATCAATCCATCTATATTGATTCTCATAACTCCAACTGTGCAGAGGACAACAGGATCCATAAGCCAGGCCACCCGTCCCTTGTGCAGTCACCTGGACACAAAGAAGACGCTAATCATCCAGCACTCTTCCAGTATGAGATCCTGCTCCGGTCATCCACAATAGATTTCCCCTTTTCCAAGAACGGCTTTCATAATCCTATAATCATGAACAATATTCTGGTTTGGAACTCAATGGACGCTAGCACTGGATACATTAAACTCATTCGCTGAGGACTCATGACCCATGTACCTAAAAATTAGAACACATGGGACCAAATATGCCCCTCTTTGTTCATCTCGAAGCTGGGACACGGCAATTCCTTCACACAGCTATGCACTCTTTTGTCCAGCTGATCATCCTGCCCCCTGTCAGCCATTGGAGAGCAGGAATCTGCATTGCAAGCAGGGAACACTCTCTGATTGGCTGGCGAGTGCTGCTGTTCTGCCTCACAGAGGGAATCCTCCCAGCTGGTGTGAAGTCAGAAACCAACTCTGCCAATCAGTACGAAGTCAGCTCCAGCTGGGGCATGAGCGGGAGCAACAAAAGACTGTAACATATAAAAATGTTTGCTTTACTTGTACAAGACATGT